CCCCAAATTCCTTCAACAATTACTCATGCTACTCAAAATCATGGTGCCTGGAGTTATCAGCAAGGAAGCTGGAGTGATCGGTGGGTTTCGTGGTCTGCTTCCTAACAAGGGAGGTCGTTCAGGTCGTGGTGAGCTTTTCAAAAACGGTTTGTTGCATGATGTAGGGGTCCATGCAAGGACCACACAGATGGGGTTCATTTTTGCTAAACGCTATTGGGAATGTCAAAAAAGGTCAAATAATTCGAAAAGAATGGGCCATTTAAACCACCTTATTCGCCTCCGTTCTAGCTGTAGCGTTGACAGCGTATAGTATGTGAGGTATTCTTTGAGCAGGCATGAAAACAACGCAAAATAAGGTCAAAATTCAAGTACTTCACTTGAATTGTGGTGAGCTACATAGGGGTTCCATAGTCATCTGCGCATATCTCTTCAAAAGGTCCTGCATCTCATCGCTCGCAGTGGCTGGTGGTGTGGTGGATAAAGCGATGGTCGCAATCGATGCATTTGAGGATGGGACCTTTTGATCTCTCTACCCAAGATGTTCCTCTATAAGCAGGAGCTGGCTCTCGCCCATCACCTTCATGTACACCAAAATATGAAGTCATCTCCAGTCGCAGCCTGACTGGAGAAGACCTTTGGAATTCATGTCACCTCCAAACAGCTGCGAAACTTCTAGTATGGAGTCACCCATGGATAGCTACCTGGAGACCAGTACTCTCGATCTGGATGACCTCCAACATCGAGCAGCTCCGACAACGTCGCCACGGTCTAGGACATCATCTTCACCACAGTCGCCAAGGCGCGGGTTGATGGTATGGACCGGACGTACCTGGAATGGAAAGACCGATATTTTCTTCGTGGACCCCGGACTGAAGGTGAGCGCTGGCGGTTACATCGAGCAACTCGAGAAGAATATCCTCTCCACATGTCGTCGCCCGTACCTTCTTGGAAACTTTGTACTGCTACAGCATTGGGTGCCACCACATGGAATCGAAGGGCGTTGGAGAAACTCTCGCCTACTTGGAATGGAAGGGGGCTGAATACCTAAAGAAGATGGAATATCCAAGTAGGTCACCTGACCTGAATCCCCTCAATTACCCGGTTCGGGCGGAGTTCAATAGGGTGGTCTACGGTGGCGGAGAAATCGACTATCTCGCTGATCTCAGGCACCACATCGCGGTCGCGTGCCAGAATCTCTCGATGGCGCTCGTCCAGAAGGCTGTGGCGGAGTGTCATGATAGTATTTAATATGCTCTTTAATATGGTGGTAAAAATGTCCGATCAGAATTCAATAAAGTGTAACTTATAGCGCCTCGAAAGTCAATGAAAAGTGACTTTTTTTGCCCCCCCCCCTGTATGCCAAGTAAAGCACCTAAATTTTGATCTTATTCTGCGTTGTTTTCATGCCTATTGAGGAAAACGTTATAAATTATACGTACTCATTGTCAGCTCTACAGCTACAACAGAGCCGAAAAAATGACCAAATTAGCCTATTCTGCGCAACTATTTTTTCCTTTTTGGCATTCCAAGTCAGCGGTTAGCAAAATGAGACCGAGGCATCTTGTGTCCTTGCCTAGAAACCCTAACATCAGTACAACAAACCTTTTTGAAAGCTCTACCACGAACCTGAACTGACTCCCATGTAAGAGATTTGCCGTTTAAAATCACGCCTAAACTAGCCCGTATTCGTCTAGCGTTTCTGAAGCAAACGACAATTCGAGTTGCTAACGTCTGGATTCTTTTGATATCACGGCGGCCTTCTTTAGATAGTTGTTCCTTATTTGGCGAAATGAGTTTCTTCGGCATAGAGTGAAAGTGGGTTTCACTGTTTCGATACAAAATCTTACGAGAAGTTATAGAAATATCTGTTACTGGGGAGAGAAAGGTAAAAATGGCAGGGACAAAGTATCACCTTCAATAGGCACGGTCTCGCTATAATAAACTGCTAGTGATGCTGCAGCAAGATGTAAGGGCAAATTCGCCCAAGTGAGCCCGTGCCATGAGAAACATGCCAAAGGGTTGGGGAAGCGCATGTCGTGCAGACCGGCTCGCTAGCCTCAAACAACTGGTGGAGTGTAAAAAACCTTAAAAATGACCGAGGCGTTGTCCGGGACTATTTACGTCGAACTGATCCCATATTGGACTTATGACTCTACATTGAGTGCTTCCACTCCACTAATACTTCGCTCCGGGAGGAGATTGCTCACTTTACTGAAGCCCGATCTTTCGGAGGGACGGGGTCACTGGAATAATGGGATGTACGCCACTTGAGATTCTGGACTTGCCTAATCTACTTCCTTTGGCCATACAACATTCTTCGAGCCGGCCGATAACCGCGCTGGCACATGGTTGCGCCCCCACCGAACCGCATGTGACCGTTCCACATAACTCTCCATCTCATCGAGGATCATACGTGGAGCCGTTACCTTGCAAAGCCAAAGCTGTCATGCTCATTTCCAGCGAATGTTTGTTCCTTACTCGTGAATGGAGTCCGCAGCGCAATAAACGTCCAGCTTTACTAACGCTTCGAAGATAGCCGAGGAACTGAGGGACATGGGAGCACGAGATAGAGGAGCACTAGTAAAATAAAATGGTTGCCGTTTGCTCGGGCGCGCGGTGGCGAGGCCTGGAAACAGCACCGGAATCATTGTCGCTTGCCCCGCCCGCCATTTCCTGTGGCACGAGTGTGCATGTGTTGCTGTGGTAATTCGGTCCTGTAGAACCTGTGAATAATCTGTACCTACGTGTATGCCCTCTCTAAAAGGGTAATCCCAAGACGGGGGTAGTTAATGGCAAAAGCGCTGCTCACCACACGCGATGAGGCCATAGTCCAGATCGCTGGCTAAAATTCGCGTTTGGGCCTATCGAGGGTCTCTGAAATTGGCTGATTGGTAACAGGCTGCTCTGGAAGTGCAAGAAACAGTGATGTATTGGTCTGGAAAGTCAAGCCGAGATTGCCCTTTAAAGAAATTATTTCAACGTCGTTTTTTAGAGACTATGAGAAAAATGGTGAGTGGCGCATTCCACGGTGAATACCAACGCTTCCGAGTGCTTTACCGTTTTTGGATGGACAAAAAAACATGTTAGGTGATCACCGCATCCGGTAAGCCTGTAGTGGTACTGTACCGATCTTCGGAAAATGTTCTGGCTAAGGGGAATAACCACCGTTCCACCTTTTGTTTTTATTTTTGGACGTGTGATGAATTCAGGTGGCAGAAGCTATTCACAAATGTTTAGATGATCTCCCGTGAAAAACTCAGTTTCAGCTATTCATTCTATGAGTTCTCGGTAGTCGGACGTTCTTGTCGATTTACGTCGCCGGCTTAGAAGGCCGTATTGTCAAGGCGATCGTACAGAAGGTAAATTCCTGCTAATTCTAGTCTCTTTTTTCAAAGCCTGGGAAATTTCTCCGGCCATACGAACCTCAATAAGGAATCACATCTTAGGCTGACATTTAACTGACGACATGGTTAGCGTCGCCCTCCAACGATCAGGACATGACAACGCTTGTCATTTAGTGCGCTGGCGCCCTATGGGTCATTGGGCGCCAACTTGGCGCCACACTTTTTCTCTTCAAAATCCAAAGCTAGCACATTAGGGTCATTTGATGTCCTGATTATGGATCAGACATCCGCGATTTCGCCACTACTATTCTGGCGCTTGAGTCGGTGTCTGACATGCCGAACTCGACTGCCATGGACTCTTCCACTAATTCGTTTACATTTCGCATGTTGAGGTCAATTAGAGACTCTCAATCAGATCTAAAACAATACATTCATTTTTTGAGCGAAAGTGGCCAGAAGCGAATGCCGTATTCATGATCGGGCACGATGTAACCCCCTATAGGCAGCGCTCCAGCGAATTTTTTATGAGATTTTAGTGTTACTTTTTTGTTGACCGACGGTCTCAGACTGAACTACTCTTCATCGGAGGCACAATTCATCACCACAGCTGCCCAATATCGGCGCTTGTTAGTGGTTGGTATATGGTACTATTTTCGTAACATATTGTGATTATTAAGAACGAGCTGGGCTAACCTTCGGTCGCCGCCCTGCGCCGAACACACAGGCCACCTCTTGCTGCCGCTAAGCATCTCAAACAAAAACGACATGTTGCTGCTTCACCTTCTGGTTCATTATTTGAAATTGAATTCCAGGATGTGACCAAATTCACACTGCAACTCGTCAAATGGCTTCTCGTGGCACTACCTGCGACCTTCATTAACAGTATGATTAGGTACTTTGAGAGTATCTTAGGCTTGGCATTCCGTTCTCGTCTCATACAACACGCCTACAAACAATACTTTGCGGTCAGTTAATCAGTTGAATATATAACGTAAATTAAGAAGAATGCAGTGAAAATGTTCTCAATCATCCATTATGGGATGTCTCATAAGGAATGGCTCGCAAACCATTCTTCTTGGAATGGAGTAAGCAAAGGATGAAGATCGTTAATGGAGAAAAAAGGTCTTGACCACCGCAGGGAGTTAAACCCCTACTCCACATTTTAGGGGCGAGCGCACTATCTGTTATGCCACCAAGGCCGCTTCTTACCATCACAGCTCGATGGCTTTTATGACAGTAACTCAGAGATGGTCAACTGTTCACGATTTGTCTTGAATCCCCATTCAAAGCTGTAACCCCGTACAGCTCTGCCACAGCGACAATCTTGTTCTTCATGCTGACGCATTGAGACAATCGCCTGCGGGGAGGCTGCCATCGCTCACATGACCTCATCTCGCCCTTCAACTAAGACCAACGATGAGCGATGGCGGTCGTGGAAATTCAATTTTGGTTATGCGAGAAAATAGGCTCCTGAGTCCTGATTCAACTTCACGCGGCGACATTCAGACCTAACAGGAATTAGTTTGGCCCGAAAAGATTATTTTTGGAACAGTCACTCGAAACTACCAAGCGAACACAAACTGAGTGCTTTATCGAATGGGTGCCCAGGGTTGACGGGCAGATGAAAATAGCCCTCCGTAATGTCAGGAAGCATACTATTGCAGGACAAAACCTACTACGCGGTATCGAATTTGGATAGCCGTCTACAGAATGCCGATCAATGTCTGACTGAGGACATTACAATGTTTAGTCAAAGTGTCGCTCATCTCTATTCGCATCTCACTAAACCTATTCTCGACATTGCACTCATAACGTGAGTTTTCAAACTTTTCTTTCGTGCTCTTCATTGAAGACGATCCTCGTGATTGCATATTTCGGAGTAGCGCGAAAATCACAAACCTATACGAAAAGTTGCTCTCCATGGAAGAAAAACTAAAAGAAATCATAGAGAACATCATAAGTAAGAACCTGGCAACCTCTGTTAACGAAATTTCGGACCTGCTCATATTATGTCAAAGAAGCGAATCTTTCGCACCTCTAGCTCACAGCTATTCGTTTTCCAATCGCGTGATCCATTGCTACATCGCCATCGTGAAAAAAGTACAAAAAGAACAACTCTCTTAGAGACCTTTGTGACAGAAATACTTCGAAACTTGAAAGGCTGGACAGGGAGGCGTCAGAACTGCCTTTATAGGGCCGCAGCGCCTTTGCCGCTCACTGAAAAGCAGCGAGAGTGAGGCAGTTTTAGAGACAGCGGACCGTACTACTTCAACAAAGAAATACGTCTACGAGTTGCTTGAGCGCGAGCACTTCTTTGAATGGCAAAAGTATCCGAGACACAATCGTCGCTTTGGTCTTAGTGGGTCCGCACCTACAGTGGAATACCATTTATTCTTTTCCAATCAGCTTTCTCAGCGCGAGATTGGAAGGGAACGGCGCCGGAAGGTGGTGATACCAGGGTATCGCACCCATACTCCTACCCGTTCAACTGCGCAGCAACATGTTGTTGCTCTCGTACCGCTGAGTAACGTGTTCCGCAGCTCCAAAAGCGGGGAAAATCAACGTAATCATACGCCCGGGAGGTAAGAGAGACAAGCAAGAGAGTAGGCGTATGCATGGGTTATAGTGGCTGGCTGTGCGCAGCAAGGGCTGGAGTAATGAGACTGCGCTCGGGTAATCAATACTCTCCCTCACGTTTTTCGGTCACTTTTGTTGCAGCAGAAAAGGGCACACTACTGTGTAGCTAAGCTGTTGACCACGCAAGGATCCACGGATGCAAGTGTGATGTGACTTTAAGGCCCATTTCACATGTGATCTCATTTCATTTCCATTTCTATTTTGTTAGGAGACAAACAGCACAGCAAAGCATCGTTCACATTGAAGGAGAAAAAGGGGCGTCTTGGGAACGGCTCTGTATTCTCGTAATGACTTCCATCTCAGAAACAGAGTCTATACTTCTTTCTCTCGTTTGGATCCTCTTCTTCCGCAGCCATGCATCCCGCTCAAACATAGACTGTGTCCATTCTACAAAGATAAAAGAAAGTGCCTGTTCATGCATATTGAACAAAATCTTTAATGATCCAGTATTTTAGGTTTACATTGGTCTCATATGCGGCTAGCCGAGGTTCTGCCGAAAACGTCATTGTACCGTCAATTTTAGCCACCCTTGTTGTCGGTGTTACGGCGAGCTTATTGAAGTCAATCTCTCCAAAGTGAGTTTTCAAACAATTTGTAGCCTTGTTGCCTAGCGTTGTGGCTTCCCCCATTTGACGCCTGCTAGACTGCTAAATGAAGAAGTAGAAGGGTCTATAAGATGACAGGTAGGTTGTGAGAGGGGTCATACCGAAAAAGGAGCTTTGAGAGACCGCACTGCAACCTTCATTCCACCCACCGCGACGGTGTGCCTTTAACTTAGCTTCCTACAGAAGCATTTGACACATTTTGGCTCCTACGCTATGTGGTCCTGTTCCTTCCTTAGCCCTTACCCATGACGTTGTCTTGCTTCAAAGCCGAGGTTCTGCCGAAAACGTCATTGTACCGTCCGCGATAAAAAGCCTAGGTGATTTTGCAGAAATGTGGAAGAAAATTCGCCAAGTGAACCATCTATGAAGAGAAAATGCCAAAGGGAACGTAAACGCATTCGTCAGGCCTCCTCTAGCCTCAAACAACTGTAGAGGTAAAAACGAAAAAGCCGCGCGCTGGGACAATTCTTGTCGGCTGATTCCCAGTAATGAACCGAAAACCTGAAAGCTTATGACTCTACAAGAGACACCGAATGCATCCACTTCCATGATACTTGCCCGGGAGCATTACTTTTGGCTGGAAGGCCGACTTTGGAGGCGGAGTCACTGGAAAAAGGGATGTACCACTGAAGCAACTTTGCGCCTTGATCCCTTTACCGTACAACTTTCCGCCGCGAAACTGGCACAGATGTGTCCACTTTCCTACATAACCTCTTGCATTTTCTTAGGTCATCGTAGACCGCTTCTTTAACCTTTGACGATATTTCCCTTGCTTTAACACCTTGAGATGTGCTGAGGACGACAAGTTCAGATTCGGCCATATGGTGGCT